TTTCAGCACCATTTCTCTCACATTCATATGTAATTGCCACACACTGATGAAAGATATTTGCCAAAAATTAATATTGTCAAGAGCAGCCAGCGCAGAAAGTAGCGTGCTATTATAAGAAAAACAATGGCTACACTTTAAAGTAGATTGAAGCTTTGAAATCTGCCTTCAGAGCCTATAAAAAATAATCATTTATGTAAACATATCAATAAGTGCCCCTGAGGGCATATTTAACAGAAATTATGATGATAAGGGCACTAATAAACACAAACATGACCGTAAGTTTACTGGGAGCCTATTTAATAGACTAATACCTAAAGCGTATGTGCTCTTTAATTTCCTTGTACTTTTTCAGAAAGAACTGTGTAAATAATGGTCACAGTTCCCAAATAGCTAAACAGGAAGTAGTCTCTGTACCGCGATGGGCTCATGCACCACTAGTTGGAGCAAATCTAAACTCTCCTTGATGCTCAATCACAAGTGCACGTTTCATGTTGAGCTGCTATGTGAGGAAATGTGCAAACTTCAAATTCAATTTTAAGGAAATGTGCAACACTGGAGTGCTTGGAGGTCACAGGAGTTGGTATTCTTAACCTGTCCCATGCAGGTTGTGGACATCAACACCTTTCTTAACTCGTCATGGTGACCATTTAGTTTGGTCATTTGTAGTTTTAATTCTTACTTAGAATGATTCTTACAAAACAAATAAATGACAAAATTAATTGAACGGTGTGAGGGATGCTGGGCTGTTACCTTAAAGCCTGTCTGACAGGGGCAGCCTCCACCCATATGTGTGACACCCCATCACGAAGAGGCAACAACAGCTCCAGTAGGAGAGGACATAGACCAACACGGTAGCCACAAGGGAGACAACACCCCGGTTCTGTGCTGAGAAATCCTTGGTTATCTGGGGGCAGAAGCAGTTGCAGGTAATCTGTTAAAATATCTGGAACATGTTAGATCTTCTTGACAGATCATGGGGCACACAGCCTCAGAGCAAGAAGCTCCCAGGTTCAAATCCACCATCTGGCTAAGGCTTTTCTGGGTGGAGTTTGCATGTTCTTCCTGCATCTGCATGGGTTCGCTCCAGGTACTTCTTCCAACCGTCCAAAGACATGCAGATAGTAGATGTTAGGTGAACTGGTGATTCTAAATTAGCCGTAGGTGTGGATGTCTACGTGTTAGCCCTGTCCAAAATGCCAATTTCATCCTATGGCAGCTGGGATAGGCTCCAGCTCGCCTTGACTCTGAATTGGATGGATGATGCTGGCCAAAGACTTTGATTTTGAATTAGACAAGGACAAAACTACTGCACTGGCACTGATGGGTTGCATTTAATTTACAACTCACAAAATAACAACTTAAAATCAATAACAGCTGATTATCATGCTTTTGTATTTGTTGAAACAAACAGAAAGAAAATGCAGTTACAATTAAAATCCGATTCATCTCCACGTTTTAGCTGCCTAACCTCAAGATATCACCCTGAAATTACAGGGATAGACGATGAGTGTTTTTCAGACACGCCATTCTCAGATCTGAAGATTTTGAGTGCTGTGTGTAAAAAAGCATTATGATTGGAGCAAGACTGTTCCCGGTAATACACCAGAGCTGCTTGTGTCCACTGAGCACAATACTTCCACCAGACATGTAGCAGCACATTTCAGAAGTATCTCAGAAGCTACTTTTGGTCCCTTTAAGGTAGCACAGAGTAGAGGAAGAAGGCAGGGTGTCAGGGATGTTAACGGCATAGAATAAATGTTCAATTTCCAAAATGATTCCCCATCCATCCCCATAAAGCCTCTGCTTACAAAGTGCTCAAACATTTCAAGGGTGATACTGCATTTTTTGGACCGGTACCAGCGCCAGTCAGTTAAAGCTGAACAAACTGTGTGATGACAGCATTTATAAATGTCATCAAGCATCTTTTATGCTTTTTCTTTTTATTGTGTAAAAGAAAGAAATCTGACAACATACAGCTGTGATTGGCTAATATCAGCCAAAAGATGACAACATAAGACCTTTACTGCAAAACTGGTTTCAAATCGTGCTAAAAAGTTACATATGTGGTAATTTGTGGGAGTTGTGATCAAATTTTATTCACATGCAGATGACATTTAAATGAGCTTTCATTAAAGTCCAAGAATAGCACAACAAGCAGCACCATTCATGTAGCAGTAAAACCCATGCTGTAGCAGCAGTTTGAAGAGCTGAAGATGCGTTACTGTAAATACAGCGGATCTATCGATTAATGTTGTCCAACTTTTCTTCTTCTCTCGTGTCTCCTGTTGCTTTAGTCTTTCATTTGAAAAAAAAAGTCAAACTATCTGTCCCACTACAACTAGAAAGGGATGCCTAGTCCTCCATGTTAAATGCCAAATGCCATTTCCAACAAAAACATCCTTCATGTAGGAAGCTCATCTTCACTCGTTGTCACATCAGCGATGGAGGCGGTTGGAGATAAATATAAAACAAGGAGGCACGATGTTGATTTCAAACAGTGGATACAGTATTATGATGCATACAGTGTCAAACGTTCATCTTCCCACAGAGTGTTACTGTATGTTTATGCGGTTTGTACGCAGTCCCTGTATTTGTGAAGCTCTGTCTGTACATTTTGTTCATTGATGAATTATTTCCATGCCCTTCATGTGTGTTTATGTTGATTTTTTCTTTTCGCCCTTTTGCGCTACGTGCCAAATGTACTGTATTTTAAAAGGATGTGAAGGTGTATTTTAATTTTTTTGAAATGAATTAAATATCATGATGTCAGAGAGAGACGGCTGTTTGTTTGGTGTATCATTTCAGCTCCTATGATTTTTAATGCTCACTTTGCACTGATTTCAGATGTGTCAAAAAAACAGATGAAAATATGTTTTATAATTTGCTCCCCATATTACATCACAGTGAGCAAAAAGCAGAAGCTACTGTATGTGTATCTTTTCCATCTGAAGTATTTGAGATGTTGACTCAGGAGGACAATGGTAAACACACAAAGCATGTGTTTCTGAACAATGCGGTGCAACCTGCTCTTAAAACGACAGCTCAACTTTGATGTTTCGCTGAGAATAGCAACAATAGCTGTGACGCAGGCTGTTTATTGCTGTCTACTTTGGTTTTTAGTTGTACACCTTACATATCATAATTAGAAAAAGTGAATATTTAAAGCCAGCTCTTGGTCTGTTCTGCAGGTGCTTACACATAAACACAAATTGATACAGTTGTGTTACATCTACACCTGACAACCTGCAGCATAGATAGAAATCTGTTTTCTAGTTCAGCGGACAATGCCAGTAAATGACTCCCAAACGACAACCGCCAGAAAAGTGCAAATGGTGAACTTGTATGGACTTTAATGGTAAAAATTTTCATGATAAGAGATTCAATATAGAAAATCTAAGTTTTACGTAAAACCCAGAACAAGATTTCCATTTTAACTGAGGCTAAAAGCAGGGCAGCAGGCTGTTTTCATTATTCTATTAAAGAATGAGTGGAAGAAATGAGTTTGGATGAATATACTTTCCATGTTTTTGACATTTTCTGAACGTTCTGGAGCGTCGCCGATGGAAACACTGCTGTGAAGACTGACAGCAGATCAGTGATAAGAAAGGCAAAGAGAAGACGACACGCGAGGCTGCTTCTCGTGCACGGGCCTCGGGACTGACTCCTGTCCTACTTAATCCAACTTAAAACTCTAGTAAAAACATTTAGTACATTTTATACTTTTCAAGTTAACTAAGACCACAGGTCATTCAATGAGGTTAGGCTGCCGTTGCACGCCGCGGCATTTTAATCTGACACAAGACACTGAAAATGTCAAGAATTCCATGGTTGGAAGTTGGAACCATGGAATGTGTATATATATATATGTGTGTGTGTGTGTGTAAATAAACGTATATAAATTTGGAAACTGGAAATTGTCGTTGGCGTCTGTATTAAAACTAACCGCCAAAGTAACTCAAAAGTAATTTAACAGGTTGTGTAACAGTACTTACAGTACTACAAACTACAGCACTATAGATTTTGGTTGTATTGTGCAATGGTGACATTAGTGTGTTTCAAACAACAGATTGTAGATGTATCATAGTCATGACACACCTATGACATGCAGACTATGACCATGACATCACTCACTGGTTTTGAATTCCACATTTTAAAGTTTCAACAATAGCATTTTGAGTGTCGTCGTGTTTTTTGAGCGAGCGTGGAGACGGTGGAATAATCACCGCGGCCGTCGCCCTGATTCCAGTATCCAGATGCATCCAGTTGTTAAATAAAGAAAATCATCCCACTCTGTGGAGGCTTTTCACCACTAGAAAAGCAGAAATGGTCAAAAAAAATTGAGTTACCTGACTCAAAATCTGAATTTACTGACCAAGGGTCTCAAAATGTCAATTCACTTTAGAGTAAGACATAATTTTACTGAACTTGGAGGTTGAGCCTTACCTGATTAGGATTTCCTAAGTTTAATACATGAACTATAAATGATGGGCAAACTCTGGAAAACTTAAGACTGTTTTTTAAACTTCTTAGTCTAAGTTGACACAGCATTTCCTCCAGTAAAAGTTTAGTTTCTCCTAGAAAGGTCACACAAGTAGTTAAACTGTGCCTTTAAAGGAGCAGAACTAGGATACACTGTTAAAGAGTTAAAACTCACTTTTGAGACAATCTGATCCTGTGTGTTTATGGCATAAAGATAAATTCTCAGAACAGTCGTAATCATGGTTTCATGTAAAGCTTCATAAGCTTACATTAAAGTGAGAGGTGACTACATTATACTTCTAGTCTGGTTACTGTAGGCTAGTTTTTAGGCCAAAAAGCGACTTTATCTACAGATTGTCCGCACTGGAGCTTTATAACGTCCTCACCTGTAGGAACAAGATCAACCTGCACAAAACAGGTAAGGAGCTCAGCGGCCACAGTGGGAGGGGCGGGGCTGAATAAAGGGGCGGGGTGGTCTCCCGGTGGCGTTTCCAGCCAATCAGCTGTTCGGGACTGAGCTTCAGCTGAGCCTCAGGTCAGAGGCAGAGCAGCTCTGGGAGTTTGCATATCAGCAAGCGAAGAAAAGTTTTGACAAGCGGACCTGCGGGCGGCTTCTGTCAGCAGCAGCAGCTCAGCGTTCAGCCTGTGTGGAGTCTTTTCTCAGCGGGTGAGAGGTTGTACAATCCTCGGCAGTGTTCTGAGACTGTACGGCCCCAATCCCCCAGCTCAATCACCGCCAGCCTGGACTAACTGAACGCTTCACAGGTTTAATGACTTCATCTGTCAGCGGGCTCCTTGTGACCTGCGCACTTCGGTCTTAAACCTGCTTTTTCTCGTCTCCCTATTTTTTTTAAATATCATTTTGTTTTAACTCTAAAGTTGGACTTTACTCAAGACTGTCGTGGAAACAGCATTGCGAAAATATGACAGCCGAAAAGGAGAAAAAGAGGTAAGAGATACTGGATTCACTCCTCTCCTTCAGCCTCTCTGCGGTTTTAATTGCCTTCCGCTTGGATGTGACTTTATTAATTCGCGGATTTAATAACAGAGGCTGTTTATTTAGTGCAGAAATTGCCTGACAGTTGGCTGCTGTGGCACAGAGAGGGACCTGTTGCTGCAGTGCTGCATGTGACTTGGCCTAGCTTTGCGCTCTCTGCTTGTTTGGAAGGCAGCGACAGGCGGTGGTTTCACACAGCTTTAATCTTAGCATTGCATTAATTCTGATGCACCGGGGCTGGAAGGCAAGTGGCCGGTTTAGCCTGTAACTGAACCGAGCGTTTGTTTTGGAAATGAGCTGATTTGGGTTTCACTGCGAGAAGCCGCAGTCACATTGAATTGTGCATATTTTAAAACCCCGAATGAACTTTAAAGGACTTTAAAATACTTTCTAAATATATTCAAATTTGAAATTTAATACAATTTCTGATCTGCTTCTCGCTCATTCTAAGGTTAAACCCCACTACTGACTAATTTCCACATTAAGTGGTCCTGTAAACAAACCATTAACTTTTAAAAAAGGATGTGTGTAAATACCTCTATAGAGGTTCGCTGTTGAAATGCACAACACTTGTAATCTTTTTAAATGGAAGTTATGAAGTTTCATATGAAGAAAAATTTTCTTGCATAATTAAACCCACATAAAACACTTTGATCCTGCACACAGGATGCAGAGCAGACAGAGAGAAGGCTCAACTTGCATGCGAAGTAGCAGCTTACTATAGAAAGGTGCATGTCATTATGAATGTATAAATATTAACAAGATCTACATGGACTTTTGAACAAGTGGTAACAAGAAGAAAAAAAAAGACACCACACTTTTTTCTTTTTTCTTTTTTCTTTTTTTTTTTAAGTAAGGCAGCACTTTCTGGAGAGAATCCAAGCTCTTAACCTTTAACCTCCTTTTAACAGAAGCTGGGCATCACTAAAGGATAATCAGTCATTACAGCAGATATCAGACTGCCTGATCAGGAAAGTTCTAGACCTGCAGATATATTGCAGTACCTTGCTCTTGCTCTAACCACCTGATGTTTAGCCAAAATCTCAAAAACTGATATTTGGCGGCATGACTGGCAGCATTCATAGAGCTGTGACATCTTTTTTTTTTCTTAACTTAGTCATATCACACAGCATGATAATCTTGTCCTGTAACTAGTCAAACAGGAGATAATTGTGCATGTTTTATCTAGGTCAGTGTATCACAGCATTGATCTGACCAGTGAAGTTGTTTATAATTTGGCTCTAATTATGTATTGTAATATTTCAGGTTTCTTCAGTTTCCCTGGCTTTATTCCCTTTTTTCTGGTTGTTAATTGTTCATCAGTAGCCATGAAGCCTCAGGCTTACTAATAATGCTTTACTCGTCTCAGCCTGTCTTGGTTTGTGTGGTCACAACAGGCCATTAGCTTTAACATCTTACCTGTGGGAAATTCTAAATTAGGTTTCCTGGTGAGAGCGTGAAACGATGCTCAACTTAATATTTAATTAAGAGATTCCCAGAGATTTTCTGCAAATTAATCTTTCACACTACCTGGAGAAGAAAACTGATTTCAACCAGTGCAGCTGTTTTCGCTTGACACCTGCTTGTATGTCCTGTGCACCTCGGACTCTTTTCTCTGACTCTTGTCTGTCAGATCAAGCGTAAAGGTGAACAAAGCAGGGGACTAAGGCAGGATAACTGTGCCAGGGGTGAAAACATTCAGAGAAAGAGGGAGAAAATGACTTGGGGAGATGGAACGTGAGATGAGTATAGGGCATTTCCTCTGACTGGTCAACGCCTCGGTGCTCCCACTGAAGACCTATCGGCCATTTTAGGGAAAGGGATCTCTGCAAGTGTGTCTCTGTCAGGCTGCACATGAAAAGCGTGTGTGTGTGTAAGTGTGTGAGAGTTCACTGGTGTTTGTCCTCTCGCTGGTGTGCTCTGTGTGTGTTTGTCTTTGTGTCACACAGTAGTATGTTGTCACTGCTGCTGCCTGGAAGTCATAATTGGTTTGATAAGTTTTGATTCATGACAGCTGCCAGTGTTTATTTGAGATGCGGCGTCTCTCACTAGTTTTATTAATAATACTAATGTGGATGTGATGAACTGACTTCTTGTCCGGCAGGTACATATTTTCTGTATCCTGATACACAAAAAGATTTCAGAAGATTTTCATCACAGAGTCACTGATTTTTCTTTATATGTTGGTGTGCGTGTCTATTTTAAAGCTACAGCTGGAACGTATTTGATTGTTTTTTTGCTTATTGTTTTGTAAAAGCCCAACATGTTCATGGAAGAAGGAAAAATGAACTGTCAGATATCTGCAAATGGAGAAAATAATAAGTGTTTTTTAATAACTGATTAATCATTTATGTTTCTGCAGTTGGAACTTTAAAGGCAAATATTCAAAAATTTGATGGGTTGGGACTTCATCAGTAACTGAAAATTAAAAAAGAAATGCACAAATCAACAAACAGACTTGATGAGGGGGGAAAGTAGTGATTTCACACTGTAGTTGAACCCTCTTGTCTCCTGCATGTACTATCTTGGATCTTTTGGATCAAGCTTCCACCTTATGCGGGCTTTGCCTTTTTTTTTTTTTTTTTTTTTTTTTTGCTCGGAAGATGTTTTGTCAGAGAGAAAATGCATTCCCCCTTGAAGCAAAACTGAGAATGCAGTAAAGCAAAATTGGAGGAAACGGGGTACTTTTTAGGTTTTTCTACATTACCATTACGAGTTTCGGCACGTTAAAGCAGTCGCACAAGTTCTTAGAAAAACAGAAAAAACGTAATCGGATAAATCGGTTCATAAGAAAAAAAAAGAAAAAGTTCAAACTAAAGGCACAAATAAATTCAGGATGGCCTCTCAGGAGTACCTTTTCACAAGAGCCCGAAAAGAGGAGCCCGAACATGTTACAAGAGCCTTGAACTGGGTGAAAAACATCTGATAAAGTCTGTGTGCGTAAGGCCAGCTTTGTGTCTTGTCATCCACTGAGTCAACGCTGATTTGAACTGTCACTGCAATCTTTTCTGAGTCTTGATGATATTAGTTGCTGGTAGAGTTACCACACCTTTCTGATTCGGAGCAAAGAAACACTTCCTGGGTTTGTATAAGCAGCCAGCAGTGCTCCCAAAACCCCAAAATGTCCTCCAGGCAAGCTGAAATTCCCAAAATAACAATGACTGCAAGGGTGTCGGCCGTACATCAGTGGGAAAGTAAATCTCTCTCTTATTTTTGAAATACATCTCATATTTTGTGTTATCAATAATATAAACATAATTTTCTTGCGACAATAATTTGGATTTTGTTACTTGTTGAGTTGCGATGATGATTATTACAACGCTACAAGTCCAAGTCACCTGATCTGTTATATTCTTATGTCTGCGTCACGTTCACATCGTGAACTTTTCCTGTTATGTTAGTGTGACTACTATAATCTGCAATAAGTTCAAAATGTTCTCCATCATTTAAGCCAAAAAAATCTTCACTGTATTGCTTTGTAGCTTTCTTTTATTCATTTCTTAGACCCGAGTGTTTACATTGCTCAACTGGATTCACAAGTAATGTTACATTACTAGTATTTTTCTTGTTATGTATAACAGTGGTTGACATAGTGTACACTTGTATGTTTACTTTGGTTTGTAACAACTTCAGAAAGCCGTTACCACAACCTGACTCCGTAACACACCAGCAGTGTTTGTCATGCTACTGAATACATTGAATAGCTTCTTTTTTTTTTTTTTTTTTTTTTTTTTTTTTTAAACATGTTGGTCTACTGATACCAGAAATAAGTTGTGGGCTTGTGAGGAACTCCTCTCACTTCTTTCAGCATGTGATCCCATTGGAAACAATGCTCAAAGGTCAGAGTCCAGGGCAGCTGCCAGGCAGATATACATTACATGACTGCTGAGAGATTGAGCCATTCGGGTGTATTTTCTGTCTCTTTGGAGGACATTTTACCGTTATCATAGTTGGTGGGGGTGTAGCTGTATATTCTAGCAATAACAAAATGGGCTAATTTAAATTGTGGATGTTAAAAAAATATATTAAGAACCTTATCATAGCAGTTTCTAGGTATAAAACTTTTGCATTTATTGAGGAGATGATTTGGTTTTAATTCTAGGAGAAAAACAACTAGTAGTCATGTGCATGTTAAGTCATCTTAACAAGAACCACATTTTATGGTGTCTTTGAGGTGTTTATATGACAGCTGTGGGGTTCTTTTTCTTCTAATCTCCACACCAAAACATAGCTGAATGAATTTAAGACCTTTAATGACTTTGAGTTTAGTTTCTCTTAATGACTGTTTTATAGGAGATGGTACATACTAAGCTGTCTGTCTGTAACCTTTCACTCACTCCAAAGACTCAACAGGAAAATGTCTGAAAAGTTTCTTTTTTTGGGAATATATGCTGAGCTAGAATCACTTTATTTTATGCACCGCATGTAGCCCAGTTTAAACCTCAGACCAGTTGAACTGTAATAACTTTAAAAAGAAATGCCTCCAAATTTTCCCTCTGTTTGTTTTAAGAGGTACATATGGAAAACATTGACATTTAATGAACCATCCATTTATAAAATATATGGGCCGGCTCAAATGACTTTGTAAAAACAAGTGTCATTTAAACAACTTATCGTAAATCAAAGAAGCAGATAGTCACAGCGGCCACAGGTCGTGTTTGTTTTTTCCTGTCAGGAGGCTGAAAAACTTCTGGTTTGGACGAAATTAACAAGCAACAGTTTTATGATTTGCTCAAAGTATAACCTGCAACTTAATTATTAGAGTAATATATAATGAAAAGTGTAAAATGCAGTTTTGATGCAGTGGCTGGTGATCTGACATCAGGCAGTGTTAATGCTTGCTGAATAATTCTGGCAGCTTGTTTGAGCTGTCAGTGCTGCAGTGCTTTTAAGCTAGAACTGCTCACAGGGATTTCCATCATATTGGTCATGTTGAACCTTATCCTGAGTGG